TTTCCCATCCTTTTCATCCTCTCATCTGAACGCATTCATGCCTCCTGACACATGGAAATTTGCTGGGTTCAGTGAATAAACTCAAAAGACAGAGTCATATGAGGGTTGAAACCAAGGCAGCATCTGTGCTGAGGTTTATTTGCTTATGAATGTCTCCGGTTTTGATGGTTAAAGGCACCACCTTAAGGCCACTGTAATTATTCAGTGCTGTTTTCTCCTTGTGTGGGTGTTTTTTTCACCAATGGTGGAGTTCATGCTTTGGCAGAAATTGGCTAAGAGCCCCTTTCAGCCCTATTTTGAAAAGTTGAACTTTAAAGGGATATGGGCAGTTATTTATCCTTGCAATCAAACCCATCTAATTAGTATTTTTTAAAGTCAGTTTTATGGGTTGATCTCTCTATGTGCTGCAGAAGGTTACTCCATAATCAGAAGACTACAAAGGCTAGAAATTTACAACATATTTTTTAAAAAGAAAAGATAAGCAGATGACTATTAAACAAAAAAAACCCAACAAAAAACCAAGGAGATGCTTCAAGCCAATGAGAGAGGTGGGAAAACGAAGGTTAGCTCTCAAGCAGAAGAGAAAAATGAAGCCATTGAGGTGGTGGGGCCCAGATGTGCCAGAGACTCTCTTGAATGAAAAAACCAAAGTCATTTGGTCATACGCGAAAGAAATTTCCAACTTGTTGAGTCTCTCCAGACAAATAATAGCAGAAAAGACATTCTGTAGAGGTAAAACTTCTCTCCCTTATGCCCCAGCCCTCCAGGGCTGGCACAGCCATGGGCTGCACCCAGACGCTCACTCCTGTCAACATCTTCTTGCTCAGACAGCATCCGATGGACTTCCTTCTGCAAATCACATTTCTAACACCTAGAGCAACCAGAAGTCCCTCACCAGTCTCTCACTTCCCTCAGCAGTCCCTCACCAGGGGATGTGACAAGGACTTCAGCCATGAACCATTCCCAAGTTTGTTGTGCCCAGGGCCATTTCTAAGTCACTTCGACCAAAGCATTTGGGGTCAGCACTTAAGACATGCTGTTCCATGCAAAGCTACCAAGCAATGTAGGAGGACACTTCAGAAGAGCATGCCACTCCTACTTTCACCTCTGTATCTTTCCTGGAAAACATGATAAATATGTGAGCGAAGCTGCTGGGACATGTCAGATATGCATCTCCACCCCCCTGTTGTGGATTAAGAGAAAGAGTCATTCACCACTCAGCATATTTGGAAAGTCTCTTGTGCACAGGGCAGACACCTCCAGACGTCTCCATCGGTGACGTTATTTATAAGTGGACCAAACAGCTTGTTAGGCTAATTGCTCCTGGAGGGATTTAACTCTATTGAGAAAGCTTGAACAGGGCTCAACTGTTCCAGAGCATTAGCTGCCACTCCTCCCTTTGATTTATATCCCTCGTAAAATTTTATGGCCAGATTAGAATGAACTTCACTTGCACTGTGTTTTTAGTAAAGTTTTTTGTGCTGAATAAAAGCAAAAATCAATGCTGTAACTAATTACAGCCTCAACCAGGAAAGGAAAATACCTCAAAACAGGGGAGGGGGGACACACGGACCCAAAAAGCCCCCCAGAACAGACCCCTTTGGAGGCCTTGCTTCAGACACCTGAGCTCTAAGTATGTTAGGAGAGCAGCAACAATAAAAAAGCCACAGTTTAGGGAAGAGCAATTTTGGATGGAGAAAGACTGATGTGGCTTTTTATGGTAAACAAGAGGGAGCGTGAGGCAGTCAAAGTTCCAGTAAATGGGAGAAGGGAGTGGATGGTTATCAGTCATTTTGTCTGGAATGTCTTTGAGTCATTTGGCTGCTGAGCTTGTCCTTATGGAGGGAAAAGTCTACTTTTGAAATAATTAGTTGCTTTGCAGAGATAATTCGGCCATATAGTGTGGGTTTTTTTGATAAATTACAGAACTCTCCGGGCTACACTTTGCTTCACCAACTGCAAAGCTAGGACATAAATCCAAACACAAAAAAGATTTTTATTTTCTTACTTTCTTTCTGCCAGTGAAATACAATGTCACTGAAAATGGCCTTTATATCTACACTACGAATACATGAAAGATTGCAAAAAGGAAGGAGAATAAATAAGCCTAGTAAAATATTTACCATTCTAGACATCAGTAGCCAAGGCCAGATTGATGGGAAATGCTTAGTTTGAGGCTGACAGCCTTTAAATGACCTCTTTACAAGTGCCTGAATCTTGAAATTCAACATGCATGTGATCTCCAGTGGGACGTGCAAGTATTTTGCGCAAGTATTTTGCCTTGTCATGCGTTGGCCCATTGACAGCATCAGGAATTACAGGTGTTCAGTTCCTCCCAGACGTGCAAAACACAGATGCTGGAAAGCAGCTCATCCTGATGAGGCTCCAGCTGCCTCCCTTCATGATGGACGAGAGCAGATCATATGCTACATTTCACTTCTGGCCAGGATTTACCTCCATTTACTGCTTTTTTTCCTCAAAATTAATGCTTTTGGGCTGCAGAAGCATTTCCCAAGATGGATTTTTCCACCGAGAAAGGAGCCGCAAGAGAAGGACCACTTCATATGGTCAAAGCGTGGGGCTTGGTAGATTTATTTTAAATTAAATAAGTTATTCCATGTGTCCTGGACACAAGCTCACTATAAACTAATTTGAAATCCAGGGAGAAAACCCCCGACAGTCAATTTTTTCAGTCCTTCAAGCTGAAATACCGTACCAGTAGTTCATCACCTGGCAAATAAACCTGCCAGTTCAAAACTTTATTAATCATTTTCTGTACCCTGCTTGAACTTTTCCAAACTGAGCTCAGGAGTGCTCTAATTCTCCATCCACTGGTACCAAAAGAAACAAGTAAAGAGGACAAAAGGAGAGCGATGAAGACTACGTCATCCTCCTCTGCCTTCTCCATTGCAGGAGCATGAACTTCAGAGACTACAATTCGGAGGAGATACCTGCCATTTGCCCCACAGCATCCCTCATTGCAGCCCAGCTTCTGCAAGTCAGAAACAACCAGACGGGATCCTTCATTGATGGGATAGATTTTTAATTTTTGGCCTGGACAGGGAATTTTTTTACAGCAATTTCTCGAACTTTCATTCCAGAGTAATAGTTAACAATTTTTCCCATTATCTACATTCTCCAACACCTCCAAAGACCTTGCTTGATTATGTGCCTGTATTCATTCTTCTAAATGTTAATGTTTTAGTCTTGAAGAAAAAAAAAAAAGTAAAGAGATGACAAAAACTTCACAGAAAAAAGGAACAGATGTTCCTGAGATCATAGCAAAACAAGCCACATACTTAGTAGGAATAAACTGTGATGTGTAACACAGTTATTTTTCTAACCTTTCTAAAACTACCTATTTGACTGATTTCTTATGTGTAAAAAAGAGGCATAAGGCCTTCCCTTCTGTCAAAGTAGCATTGTCTTGAGTAATTTAGGAGCTCCCTGTTTCGGTGCATTTCAACTACCAGCACACAGACAGATTTAAGACATCTTTAAGTGTGCAAGACTCTCAAGAACGCGTTTCCTAACACCACTCTAGAGAAGTGTTTATAGGAGAAGTCCAGCTAAAACCCAGAGCTCTGAATCAATGACTATGCCAAAAGAAATGCAGTTGTAAGTCTGCTTCGCCCATACAGCTGGTGGTTTGGGGTGCAAGGAGGGGCACGGCACTTGCACCGCACATCTGTGTGTTCGGTGGGGTACAGTTCACAGGCACAAATGCAGACCAGGGGCAATGTTAGAAATTAGGGAGTGGGAATCTCTCTACCCTACTGCACAGCTGCAGAAGAGACTGCTGATAAAATCAGTCTGTTACATCATATCAGGCTGTTGCTTGCATCATCCCAGCCTTGGTCAGTAACGCATCCCAAATTTGAACACGTAGTCATTGCTGTGATGTACATAGGCTGAATAATTTTACATTCATGCACCTATTCTGCATATAACACTGTGATAGTAGTAAGCGTAAGAACTATCTCAGAAAGTCTTCTTTAAAGTCTATTAAAGTCTCCTCCAGTGTCAATCTAAGCAGAGATTATAAATATATATATATATATATGCACCCAGATTTCACTACTTTCTTAAATGGAGGGTAGGTACTACTGTAACATACCCTTCTGAGACTCCCAGCAGTTGCATAGCGCTGCTGCCTGGCATCTTTCCTTAATTCCTTCTATCCAGATCTTGCATGTAACTGTGTTTTCTTGACATATTGTAAGTACGTTTAATTTTCAGTATTTAATGGCAAGATGCATCTAGGTAGGCAATACACTGTAGGCTACCTTGGGCCAGCAGCTATCAGTGACTAACATGGATGTTGTGATTAATATGGCATCTGAGTTCAAGTGAACGATGAGAAATTCAGATCGTCTTCTAAATCGGACTACCAGACCCTGGCTTTCCTTCAGGCAAGAGAAAAAAGTGTTTGTATCACTTATTTCATCAGCCATTAATGCTATTCCTAGAGGACACCTCATTCAGATGTGCTGGCATCTACTTCTTCCAGTTCAGCTCACACACAATCATAGACCGGACTATCAAACCAGTGTAGCTTCCTGTAATAGCTTTTCCCCATGTTTTAATGACTATAACACCCAGAGTTCAGAAAGATAGCATTTTTATTTCCAAAACAAATCTGAAAGAACAGAGGAACTGCTAAATTGAGAGATCCACATAGCCCAGTCTCCAGGTCTTCACAGTGGGGAGCAGCTGGCAGTTTAGGAAAAATACCAAAAGACAGAGCGTAGAGCTATCCCTCCTAGTGCACTCCTCCTGCAATCAGCTGTTCAGAGGTTTCCTTTAAATTGCATCCCCAACCACTACGAGCTGCACAACTAAAAATGTATCTCATTTCTCTCCAAATCCTTTTATACCCTTGTCCTCCACAGCATCCTGTGACAATGAGTTCCACACTCAAAACTGTGCATTTTGCAGGGAGTAACAATTTTTTTTAAAGCTGCTGCTTGCTAATGTTGCTGGGACAAGCTTGCTGACGCTCATGGAGAAGAGCCCTTGGTCGCAGGGTGCCAAGAGGAAAGGTCGGGTCCTTTAGCTTTCGAACCAAGCTGCAAATTCGGAACCAGCTGGGCAGCTTCGTCCCTATAAGAAGAGCAACAATGCTGAGTTGGCATCCTGCGGTGAGGTGAAAGAACCAGACACCCACCCTCTAATTTCTAACATGGTTTTGATTTGGAAGGAGATATGAGATGGGAGCATTGCCAAATTAAGCCTTCCTGGGGCGGATCTAGAAACATGCAGGACTGTCCGGACTTGCAGAAGATGCCTTGTTTGGGTTTTAGCTGAGACTTTCTGTGCTGGGTCATTTCCTCCACCATGCAGGTTTTGACAGCCAGTGAAGGGAGCGGACCAGGTACCTGGCAGCAATTACAGACCACGGTTTTCAAGGTCAACCAGCGGGCGTTTGCCAGTTTGGTGGCCTATTTTACGTGCTTTAAATGTGTCTGGTTTTCAGGAAGAAGCTAAGCTCTCACTCTCCTGAAAGTCATCTACAGCATTTCCTCTGACAGCCAAAAATCAGTGTTTATTTTAAAAAGCAAATTAAATATAAACAACCAAACTTGCCTTTTTTTCATGAGAGAAGATTCAATACGGAGGAGGCTGCAGTAAAAGACTGTGATAATCATGTGGCAAGACAAACAGCACTTCACTGAGAAGCACATACTTTGTCGAGATAATCCTTTCCCCTAGAAGAGGCATTTCTGTATTGATTTTCTGAACGTTTATCTGTTCTGTGCTCTAGTCTGACAAATACTTGTGTGAGAAAATTTCACCCTGTAAGCGGTTACCCTGCTGTTTGGGGTAGAAGACTCATTATTTTTATAATGTGACAGATTGCCTAAATAAGACAGTCTCCAGAATGGACCATCCACCAACTCATAAACCTATATAAAATCCTACATAAACCTGCATAACTAACGACTGAACAAGGGTCCATGGTTTGTCTGCATGTATGAAGTGCTTGCACAATCATTCTTTTTCAAATAATATATAGAGTGTTTGTTAATTTAATAAACACATTAAGCACTAAATGAATAACATTTCTTTACATCAGATAAAAAATCTGTGCATTTATGCTTCGAACATCTGCGGAGCTGTAGCCACATAGGTCAACATAAGAGGATGGGAATTCTTTACCTCTTCTCGCCTGTCATTATTTTACCTGTAATAAAATTCCACCAAGCCCCAGCCTTGTGTTAGCCCATCCAGTTGGAAATCTGCAATGCACTCGTGGAAAACGCTGCTTCCAGTCAGGCCGTTATACACCACGGGGCAAGCCTGCTTATCCAGCGTTGCAGAAACATCAAAGTACTTGCCACCTTTGATGATAAGAATAAAAAGGGAAGAATGTCTCCAACCTTCAGTAGTATTTTCTCTCAAAAAAAATCCCTGGATTTTTGCACACCACTTCTATTATTTTTGCATACCACTTCTCCTTATGCTTTTCTAAAGAGCAATAGCTTTCCTGTCTGCTTTGTAAATTCAGTAACACCTTTGATCAAGCTGTATTTCCAGAGCAGCTGAATCTACCTCATAACATATGTTTTGATACCCAAAAAAATAAAAATGACAGCATTTATCTGGATTAGCACAAGCAACTGTCACCACAAATAGAAACGGTAACTGTCCCTCTGATACAGCTGCCCGTGGCCACGATCCTGCAGTGGTCACACACCGTTTCACTGGTGACACACTACACATGAGACTTAATTTAAGCACAGAATTAAATTTCTCAGGGTGTAAGATGACGCAGTTAGCTTTCAAAGTTGCTCCAAGGATCACATGGAATTTCACTGAACAGTCTTTCCTCCACTAAATTAACTGCATGCCAAAAAGCTGAAGGCAGATATAGTTGGGCTACACTTAACTTACCGGCAGTAAAACTGACTCCATATTCATCCTGGATAACACCATCATCGGCCATCTCAGCCAGCGAGGCGTTGGACCACTCAATGCCAGCCTTCCTCCCATCAGGGAAGAAGACGTAACCTACAGTGAGGCTGAAGGGGAAAGAAATGGAGCAGATCTAAAGTTCAGCCAAAACTCAAACGGACCAGTACACTGGCCTTCCAGGAGAGCTCAACACTGAGCATGGCCTTCATCCCTGGAAAGCAGCAGGAAGGCATTAAAAGGGTTATATTGTGGGATATTGCAAATGCTGAACAGGGGAAGCCATGCATGCAGGAAGGATGAGGCTTGCAGGATGGACTGTGGTGAGCAGGTGGGACAGGCAGGTCACTTGGTCCCACTTGGTCCCAGGGCCATGAACGGTGGTCTTCAAGCATCTGGGTGCAGATAGCATCAGTCAGCAAGGCACGGTTCCCTGCATAATGCCCCACTACAGACGGACACACCTTGTTAAACAGCTGGAAGTGCTCAATTTGTACCTTTAAATCATCTAGACAGTAAGACAGGCAGCTGGATCAGGCAAACAGTATTTGAATGGAAAGGAAGTAATTGAAGGTAAATTGTCCTTGTGACTAATTGCAAATGGAAAATTGGGTGGAGGGAGTGGGGAGCAAGAGGGTGTGGATGGAAATTGGGCTGTACAGGTTCAAAGCAAGAATGTGCATATAGGTGTCCTGCAGAGCACCTTCTGCCTCCTTTAAGACGTATGTTTCTAGCAGCATAAACTTCCTTGGTATACTTACTTAGTTGTGGTAGCTGGCATATTAATAACTGTTAAATGTGCCGCAGTCCCATCCTGTAAGAAAGTGATAAAGAAAAAGCAGTCTAATTTCTGCGGACTCATTTTTGTGGGTCATACCCCGACTTGACCAAGAAGACACTGGATATAACTCAGGTTATACTGTGTGCAATGACTTTATACTTTTCAAACTTCTCAATACATCTGCCATGAAAATCTGGCTGCAAATGAGAGTCCAAGAATATAAACCAAACACATTAAGGACAAATTAAGGACATGAAGGACAACAGGACATCCACAGCAAGCGGACATGAGAGGAGGAGGGAAAAAATACATGCAGAGATGTCAGCCAACCCTGTTCAAAACTGACGGGCAAACTATCAAAGTTGGCTCTGCTTTGACCAGATACCTCTTCTAACCTATATTATTCTATACCTGAGAGCAGCACACAGGAAAAATGTTAAATAAGAAGGAACTGGAATCTCATGTTTTATTTCAATTCTCTTCCATCCTTGAGTCTGAACCCCTTCACGCTCCACTTGGGCTGCTCTGAGGCAAATATAAGCCTACACTGTGATGTTATGTATGTACAGATACTCAGCATATGAGGACTCCAAACTTCAATCGGCGATAAACTTTAATTCCTTCTTAAACAGTCAGATGGCTTTTAATTAGGAGAGGAAGAGCCACAACTATTTTGAGTCCTGAATAACTACAAAGAAAAGGGAGAGGTTACTACCCGATTAGACACATTGCAGCGCAAAAGCACAGTCTTATTAAAAGGTACACAGGCATATGTTAAATCACAGCAGCTACTGGATCTGCACATATGTGGGATTTTCCAAGGGGTGTTTTTGTGCTGGCCAGCATACACCCGGGAAAAGAACTTTTACTCTGAATTCAGTCTTAACTCCTCTAATGCTGCCTATAATAGTTTAGATTTCTTTACGCCTGTGTTGGCAAAGAAAATGCCTTTTCAGGAGCATCTGTTCAGGTTGCATGCCAGCTTCTAAGACCAGAATTCAGCATTTCCCCAGGCTGTGCGCTCCCAGCAGCCACAGTGCTGAGTCTCCTCCAGCACAGCCACAACTGCAAAGCAGAGAATTAGAGCTCAGCACAGGCAGAAATATTTGCTGACTGCTGTCATGAAGGTTTAGGATGCCTTCAAACACCTCAGGCTCTCAATTAGTGTGAATCAACACTGCATCAGCTCCACTGAGTGCTGGGTATTTGCGGCAGCTGAGAATCTGTCCTGTAAAGCTGCCCATCTAATTTTTCTTAAAAAAAGCCAAAACCAACAGTTTCAAGTTACCAAAACAACTTTTGGTTCGATCAGTGTAGCAAAATCTCAAGTTTTTACACACATGGCTCTGCTTTTGGGAGCTGCTCCCAATGCTGGTATGTGCTAGTGATGGCACCAGTCAGCACTTCCAATTGCACACCATGGATGCTCCCAGTGCCTTATTTCTGGATACTTGAATATGACTGACAAGTTCAGAAACACTTCCAATTGCATGGTTAGGTAGCACATTGCCATGTTAATACCTACTTCAAAGTGTGCCAAAATCATGACATAACGGTAAATCTCAGACCAGTTCCGGATACCTGCAAAAAAGAACAAAATCACCCAACCTAAAGTTCACCATTGCTGGGAAACGTGAATTAATAGTACCTGACTTGACATTCCTTTGGATAAAGAAATATCCAGTAACTGATAATATGGTAAGCATATGCATGTCCCCAAAGCAGTGAGTGAATTGTTTTTGTCGCTGTTACCGTAAGAGTGGCTCCGAACGCCTTTGAGGGAAAGTTCGGTTTTCTCATGATTTTCTATTTCAATTCCTCCAACAGACTGGCCCCACTGCTCATGTCGGAAATGCTGTTCCCTTTGTCTGGAAGAAAGAAAAGAGTGAACAGGCACAGGCAAAATCAACAAGTCTCCTATTCAAGCAGCCTCAATGCCAATCTGATGGACTTCTATCCCAAAACGAAGAAGAGATTTCAGTGCACCTGGATCATGGTTATGCTAGATTTACACATTAGCAATTGCTTTTACATTTCCCAGCTATTGGTTTATGTCTGTGAGACACCTAAGAATGAAACAACAGCAAATTCCCACTCTGACAGACTACAAAAATGCCCTTTGTTTGAAAAAATGCTGTACTACCAAACAGTTGCTGCTTAGAAGTCAGCAGGTATCACCAAAGACAACACACTACTGGTATACATATTTTCTGCTTGTATTTAGACAACACACTGTTGATACTCCTATTTTATTCTTGTATTCTCAGCTCTCCAAAGCTTGTATAGTAATTAAAACACTCACTTTAGCTCTCCTCTCACACAATTATATTCAGTCCTTTGCTTAGATATACCTGGACCATTGACTTTGGAAGCAGCCTAAATTAGGTTGTTAGCAATGAAAAAAGACACAATAAGAAATATTCCTAATGCTCAAGGTTTTACAGACCACAACTGTGGGCAGGTCCCTCCACCCATTTATTAGGAAGACCCCGGCTGTGTGCAGGATCTTCCTCAGAGGTTGCCAGGTCTGGCGTGGTAACGAAACCAGAAGACACCTGACAGGAGCCATGTCCTTTATTAGCTCACTTTAAATTGAACCCATCTTCTAAAATCACCTATAACAACACATGTAAGACCCTGAAGTGATCTGTAGAAAAACTGCTATTAACCTCAGAAGAAATTAATCTCGCCTCTCACTTTTTGACCCTCTGGAAGAACTCGATCGTCCACGGCTCCTGGGCAAAAGCACGTGCAAATGTGCTGGGGTGACTGTCGACACTAAAGTTAAAGACTTCTGTGAAGTTCTCCCAACTAGGAAAAGAGGGGAAATAATAAAATACATTATTACCTTTCAGGTCATACTAAGCCACTTGCTACTCTGACAGTGGCAATCTTTGTATTTTATCATTATTGGAAAATTCCAATTTTCGTCATTTTAAACATGTTATTACTTTTCAAGGAAGCAAACAAAAGGAAACCGGGAAGAGCAATAATGGCCTGCAAGACTCAACAGATTACCTAGGAAGGGGAGCTGGCAGGGCAGAGCCACAAGCGAAAGCATGCTGCTCTCTCTCATGCAGTCTGTTCAGAGGTACAGATGCAGTATTACTCCAGAAACACTGGAGTAAAACTGACGGGCAAACTATCAAAGTTGGCTCTGCTTTGACCAGATACCTCTTCTAACCTATATTATTCTATAACTGAGAGCAGCACACAGGAAAAATGTGTGCACACATTACTCCAGAAATGCTGTGCTATTTGGACAGCAAATCATTTTTTATCAGACAAATAGAGTCCCTAAACAGAAAGCAGAGGCAAGGGCTTCACGTGCTACTTTGGGCACATGACCCTTTGAAAACAGTAACCAAATCTCCAACCATGAACTCACTATACGTCCCAAAGCCAATGTGAAACACTCTTACTGGAAAGAGAATTTAACTGGCACAAGTTCACCTTCATCTTCACTCCACTGCTGTCGGTAGGGTCCTTTTCTGTAAGGCAAAGCACCATAATTTTGTATCACTCCTAAATAAACAGCAAAATGTTTCTTACATATCTGGAAATTGATGCAATAGGAGACACTGCAGAAGAATGATGCTATTGTGTGCTAAGGCAGAACAGTAATGCTGTACATTACTAGCCATATTTTCAGCCATAAAAACCAATGTGTGCTCTTGTTACCAAAAATCTTTTGGTTCAAGTCGGTTAAATATTTTTGCAGATAGTGTTCAAAAAGCCTTGGTCTTAAGTGTAAATAAATAAAACCATAGAGTGCTGCAATACCTGAGTAATCCATTGAAGCTTATTTTCCAGAGTTTTTGGGACTCTAAGTATTCAATAGTGAGCCCTCCTCCACTCCAGATCTCTTCAGATTCATCACTCACCATCATGTTTGGATGTTGTGGGTGCTAAAAAGACATTTCAGGAAAACATTTGCTTAATTCGATTGTGAGGATGCAACGTGGGTGAATTCCTGCTCTGGTGGTCCTCTGCAGGAGGAACATTTGGTTGAACTGGCTTTTCAGTTCTACCTGCTTTCTGGTAATCAGATTATTAGAGAGGGAAAATTGCATCTAAAACACCTGCATTACAAGATAACACATTCTTGTTTCAAATAATACAACTGAATTACCTGTGTGAAGGGAGCTCACTGCAAGAGCTCAGCTCCTTATGCTTGTGCCTATCAAGCTTACAGCCAAGCTGATGCAGAGCTTTGGGGATAAATTTATTTTTAGACTGGATCTGATGAAACTTTAAAATGACTTAAATTTCTAGTGCATGCAAGCTCCCAAAATTCTTCAGCTGCTCTTTGAAAAATATGTCTTGTTTCCTAAAGCTGACACCTTTCTAAAAGAGAGTTTATGCCTGTCGCTGCAGGGAAGGATCTAAGAAGGTCCTGAACTTGTCTGGCAGTTCTCAAGTAACAAAAGCCACAAAATAGTATTGTTATATTAAATATTACTAGAAAACAAAATAATGCAGATCAATTGCCTTTTTTTTATTTTCTGCAAATAGGATGTCTCCTGCTTTTTCTGGTCATGGCTACCTAGCAAAACAAATTTGTGAACATAAAGACAGCTGAGTACAAAAGGATTTATGCCAGATCTTCCCTCCTTCTTTACTATGTAGTTAGCTATTAACAAAAAAGAAAATCCACAGGCAAATATATGATTAATGCTGTCTTTTTAACAAGAATGAAGCAGATGTACACATAACTCCCTAAATGCGTTCCTTTCTCTTTTAAAGAGGCAATTCCACAATGGTTTTTATAGCATTCACTCATTAAAAAAGGGGAAAAAAATCAACCATAACCATACAACGTAACTTATTAACCATGTGCTGCACTTTCTGATAAAGACTGAATGCTCAAATTCTTCCTGGAAGACTTACCAAGACATTTTTTAGAAAATATGCTATGTTTTGTGCACATTATGGGAAAAGGGGAACGAGTGTCAGATACCTACTCAAAAGATCAGTCATAACCAGTAATCTGGCCAGTTCTACCACTGTCTTTAGACACAGCACTGAGGTCTTACTGTTAGGATGTTAACGTAGCGAAGATGCAGAGAATGTGAATTTTCACTTGGGATCCTAACATGGGTTCAAGATAGGAGTTAAGCACTGCTCTTGAATGTCATCCCACATCCACCACTTACTTCAAACTCTCCTATTCCATCCACCCTCAGGAAGAGCCACATCTCACAGAGCCCGTCGGGACGTTTCGCAACACGAGCGATCACAAAGGTCTTGTTGGTCTCTGCAAAGCCGGTGAAGTAAACTGAATCAAGCGCCTACGGAAAGGGAAATGGATTTCAGCTCCAGCTGGAGGCAGGAAAGGAGGGGGAGAAGGTGAATAATTGTTTGTTTTCTGTAGATTTCTTCTTGAGAATCAAATTTTACTTTCACTTTTTATATTTAATAGCAGGCACCCCAGCGAACAGCCAGAGTTTTGCGAGGAGCAGTGAAGCCTCATTCATAAGACAGGACAGTCCATGTGCTCAGAAAACGACCGACTCACAACTTACAGTCAATCTGACGTACAACAATCACATCGTTCATTGACACAAAAGCATTTTTCCTTTCCTGTTTGCCTATGTCCTCATCAGGGCAGACACAAAAAGCAGAGAGGAGCAGATGAGAAGCAGTTTATAGAGGGAACATAATTATTGCATGATAGCCATGGATAAGGTGAAGTATTATCCTGAATTAAGATGATCATTTTGCAATGAGAAGTTCCCTTGACCAAAATCCTTATGAAATGTGTCCTCAAAGAGAGTGTCTGTGAGGATGAAATTGAGCCACAATCATGCTGTTTCCCCATCTGGCTCCAAATTGTATGTCGGACAACTTACACTTAGGGGAAACATAGAACTGAAAAGGAAAAAGAAACAGAAAGAAAGTAAATCACAGGAAACTCAGCACTTTACCAACAGGATTAGCAGTTGGGCTGGTGTAGGGTCAGTTAACACTGCAAATCTCAAAAACTATTAGGCACAGAAGTCCACAACTTCAAATTCAGATGTATATTTTCATGTATTTGTGCAGAACTCGCTCACAGTGAAGTTTTAAAAGCTGGACCGTGGAAATTAAAATTTATGTATGCATTTTCGATTTTCATGTATTTGTGCAGAACTCGCTCAAAGTGAAGTTTTAAAAGCTGGAGCATGGAAATTAAAATTTATGTATGCATTTTCAGAGATGGATGAAGTTCTGCTTCTGAAAAACTATCCATCATAAGATGCCAAAAAATACTAAGATCAGATGCTTACTGCCCTTATGCGTACAGATAAGGGGGAATTCTGAGGGCCAAGAGTCTGGAAATACACACAGAGTGAGCTACTGGATACCAATGCAAAAATTCAGAGACATAATTTCTGTAAGTATTTTCCAGATCTGTTTTTACACCTCCCTTGTAAGTGTTGGTCCAGTGTTGCTGCTTGGAAGAGCAGAGGGGAAAGCACAGACCCCTTGGCTATATCTCAAACCACCTTGGATGTCTGTTTGACTTGGAAGATGGTGTCACTCCTGCCCTATCAAATCTGGTTGAGATTGGCAAAACAGTTCAAAATGCTCCAAGCAGCAGCTTAATTAGTAGAAAGGAAAAGCTAGAGGAAACAGCTTCTTTTTTTTTTTTAAAGGCTAAGCAGAAGCTTCAATGCCTTTGTTAAATAGTATGACTTAATGATTCCCAGAAGGCTCCAGGAAATGCTAGCAAGAAGTAGATTTTTCACAGAAATTACTTAGGATCCAAAATCTCAGCTGCCATCTGCAAGCTGAATCTTGATGAGGCAAGGAAAACCGAGGGGAATCCTGTCTCACCAGCCTTTCTGCTCCCCACCCTCACCAAATAATACAGCAAAGCCCACCCAAATCTCCCCGTTAGGCACAGTGGGTATTTTGACAAGATGGTACAGGAACGCAGGTAAGGTTGTAGACAGAGGGTTTCTTATTTATTAAGCAGACAAGTACACCTGGAAAATTAGATACAATTCCCTGAGTGTGCTAAAAAAAAGGCTTCTGTGTCTTATAGTGTATCCACTTTTTCCCATCGACATCAGCTGGTCTGATTAGAGGTAACCCTCCTCTCCGCAAGGGACGGCCAAGGTGGCATCCCCAACCTGCCCTCCCTGGGATGTGCTGAAGAACGGGGTGGCAGAGGGGTGGGGGAGGATGTGGATCCCGAGGCTTCAGAGGTTGGGCGGTGGGGGGTGCCAGGCACCAGGATGCAGGTGATGGGGGTACCTGAGGGATGCAGGTCCCAGGGGGATGC